GCCCTCCCAACCATGTACCACAATGATGGGTGGAACTGGGGCTTCAAGGGCATGCCATCTCATTCAACATGGAGATCAATGGACAGGAGTCCATTTTAATCATACAGAACACACACTTTCTTGCACAACTAATCTCGGAGGGAATGAACCTAGCCATGAACAACTACATAAATCAAATGTGGATGAGCAACGTACTACAACCAGTAGCACCCTCACTAAACCACAACCTAGTTCAAAACATGCAGCAGATGTAGAACATAACCCACAACTCCAACCAACAACTACCTCAAAATCCACCAATCAATCTACCCTTCTTTGCTCTGGAGGACCTAATGATGCTGAACCCAATCTTGACACAATGGGCACCACAACAACCCATGCACGACCAGCCACTAGGTCCTCAACCAGAGCCAATGGAAGAACAACCTCCAATTCCAAACATGCAGAATCAGGAAGGGATTCAGGAGGAAGAAGAGGAGGAAGAGGACGACTTAGCACTCTTGTTGGAGCCAGCGGTGGTTTTTTCAAGCCTAAACAAGGTAAAAATATTAATCTTCAAGGAAATTCTCGACAGGAAGTCTATCTTCAGCTGCCCAACGACACTCTACAAGTGCTCCTTGGACATCCGGCCTCCCCACGATCCCACAATGGGCAAGAATGTAGTAATTCTGGTCCCTTCCTTGAGGAGGAACCCAAACAACATCCCACCCAACATGAGACCCATGCATCAGCCCAGTAACATCATCATTTGGAACGTTAGAGGAGCAAATAATGATAATTTTAGGAGGCATTTTCGTGAACTAATGGACACTCGCAAACCTAATCTAGTCGTCTTGCTAGAAACAAAAATGGAAACTCACATTTCCATCCTAGAAGGCCATCACTTCAATGAAATGGTTGAAGTACCTGCTGTTGAAAATTCTGGAGGTATGGTCCTCCTTTGGAACAAGGAAGTGGTGAAAGTCAGTAACTTCATAAGGAATGGCCAATCAATCCATGCAATGATTGAGGTAAAACCAAAAAAACTTTCTTGGCTCTTTTCTACTGTTTATGCTAGCACTGATGTAGCCCTTAGACAATTACTATGGGATAACTTTAAATATATTATTGATAAGTATAAGGGACCTTGGCAAGTTACAGGGGATTTCAATGAAATTATTAATTCAACGGATAAGTTTGGGGGGCGGCCAATTAACCAAAAAAAGGCTGGAACCCTAATAGATTGCCTTAGCTATTGTAACCTAGTAGACCTCGGTTACAAGGGTTGCAAATACACATGGTCAAACCATCATAGGAGGAATGGGGGTCTAATTATGGAAAGGTTAGATAGGGTTTACTCAAATTCCGAGTGGCTACAAGAATTCAATAATGTGACGGTTACACATCTTCCTAAAATTCACTCTGACCATAATCCTATATTAGTTAACACAAACAATAGAATTAACCACACCAATACAAGGCCTTTTAGGATGGAAACCTTTTGGTGCACACACCCTGATTTCCCAAGAATTGTCAAAGAAAGCTGGAAAAATAGGGACATTATTAAGGGGACTGAGCATTTCCAAACCAGTGTTATAGAATGGAAAGAAGCTACCTTTGGGAATATCTTTGCTAGAAAAAAAAATTTACTAAAGTGTATAACTGCTATTCAAAACTCCCCTAGTTACCATTATAGCCAATTTCTTAGAGACCTAGAGGTCAAACATATAGAAGATTACGACTCAATCCTCAAATTAGAAGAGGATTACTGGAAATTACGTTCTAGGATTAATTGGTTAAATGAAGGGGATGCAAATACTAGGTATTTTCATATCCAAACCACTAATCGGAGAAGGAGAAATAATATCGTCTTCTTTAAAGATAACTATGGAAGCTGGATTGAAAACCAAAAAGCTCTTATGGACTATGTATCCGATCATTTGCAAAAAAATTTTACCACTTCTCATGAACACACAAATTGGAAAAGCATTACTTTGGCTAACACTCGTTTTAACAAAGTAGACTTGTCATGCCTTGACAGTCCACTTAAAAATCATGATATTAGGAGAGCTATTTTTTCCTTTAGACCATGCAAGGCTCCCGGACCTGATGGTCTGCATCCCTTTTTCTTCCAAAAATTCTGGCCAATTCTAGGAGGTAAAGTCATTAATTTATGTCAGAAAATTTTTAACTCTAAAGTTATGCCCCAGGACTTAAATAAAACCTACGTTTGTCTGATCCCTAAGTTCATAAATGCAGACAAAATTCATAACTTTAGACCAATTAGTCTTTGTAATACTTTGTACAAAGTGATTACTAAAATAATTGCTACTCGCATTAAGCCTTACCTAAAACTTCTAATTAGTGATCACCAAAGTAGTTTTGTTAAAAATAGACGAGCCACGGATAATGATATCATTATTCAAGAAGTTCTAAAATGTTTTAATAGTCGGACAGGGAGAGGGAATTGGATCTTAAAGCTTGACTTAGAAAAGGCTTTCGATAAGTTGGAATGGTCATTTGTATACAGAACTTTAAAGTTCCACAACTTCCCTCCTAATATAACAACCCTAATTCTTAGCTGCATATCAACAAGTACTATCTCTATCCTTGTTAATGGTAATAAAACAAAGGATTTTTATCCTACTAGGGGAGTTAGGCAAGGGGACCCCATGTCACCATATCTATTAATCTTATGCATGGATATGTTATCCAAAAATATTGAGCACCAAGTAGATACCCTAAATTGGGATCCCACCCTCTTGAATAAAAAATGCCCCCCTTGTCACATTTGTTCTTTGCAGATGACCTAGCCTTAATGGGTCGTGCAAATCAAAAAACAATCACCACAGTGAGAAATAGTATGGAATTCTTTTGTCGTTTATCTAGTCTTAATATTAACAAGGATAAATCGAAATTGTTGCTGTCAAAATCATGCCCCCATAGTGCTAGTAATTGGATCACTTCCTTTTTGGACATGAAGGTTATTAAGGATTTTGGCAACTACCTTGGTTTTCCAATGCCTAGTAATCAACCCAGACATAAAGACTTCCTGCCTATAATTGATAAAATGAGGGCTCGACTCAATATTTGGAATGCAAAATGGCTCAGTATGGCAGGAAGGTGTACTCTCATAAAATCAACTCTAAGCACAATACCAAATCACCAAATGCAACTCTCAATGCTCTCTAGTAGGACACTAAAGGAAATAGATAAGGTCTAAAGAGATTTTCTCTGGGGAACTACATCTGAAAAAAAGAAAATGCACTTAATAGGCTGGAACGTGGTAACATTGCCTAAGGACATGGGGGGGATAGGTATTAGGAAGGCAAAGTCTAAGAATTTTTCCCTACTAACTAGCCTTGCTTGGAGGCTTCTTACTGAACCATCCTCTCTTTGGGCGCGAGTCCTTACTAGCCTATATGGCTATACTAAGTCTACTAAGGGGGGATCCAATACTTGGAAAAGCCTTCTTAAGGGCTGGAATTTTTGTCAACAAGGGATAAGATGGCCAGTGAATAATAACCCTAACATGTCCATATGGGACACCAACTGGATCCCTATTTATGGTAAGCTAAGGGAAACTTTAATACCCTCTCACAAATAAGGAGATTGAGTTACGAATAAAAGACATCCAAACTGATAATAGATGGGATCTAGCACATATATCCTTCGAGATACCCAAAAATATTATTAATAGTATTCACTCCCTAACCACAACCTCTACACACACTAGCAAACCTATATGGAGTATAAATCCTAGTGAGATATTCACAACTTCCTCATGCTACAAAGTAATTGACACGCAATCTCATACTAGTAAAGAGTTTGCATGGATATGGGGCATGAAATGCCCTAAGAAATCAAGTTTTTCATGTGGAAATGTTACCACTCACGACTACCTACCAGGGACTACCTAGGAAAAATTGGTATCAACATTGATACAACATGCCCAATTTGCAAAAATGGGGAAGAATCACTACTTCACATTTTTCGGGAATGTAAGGTGGCAAAATTTTTTTGGAGATCATTAGGGGTGTTCAGTTCGAACCCTATGCCACACGAGCACTGGGTCGATTTCCTACATAAAAACACCTCACATACCTACTAAGTTCATCACATGGGAAGATGTTTTCCCCTTTGCACTTTGGTCTATTTGAAAAAACAGGAATGAAAACAATGTAAATAACACCAATCGTACTATTAACACTACGAAAGTGTTTCAACAAACGCTGAAATATCATTTGCTCACATCCAAGCCCACCACTAGTAATATTCCCATAAAGGTGAAGGTGAAATGGCACCCGCCTCCTACAAACTGGTACAAGGTCAATTTTGATGGTGCTTTCAACAATGACTGCCTGCATGGAGGAATCAGTGGAATCATACGAAACAACAAAGGAGAGTGGATGTTGGGTTACTATGAGAAGAGTCAAACAATATCACCTATACATGCAGAACTTCTAGCTTTTCGGCAGGCACTTCGAACAATTATCAGGGAAAAGATCACCCCCATGTGAACTAGAAACAGATGCCACAGAGGTGATTCATTTTTTAGAAGAAGATTATCCTACTTACAGTGATTTAATTATTGAATGCAGGTGTTTAATGGGGAGGGCAATGGAGCAGGGGGAGATCATAATGAAGCACAACTTCCGTGAAGGAAACATGGTGGCACACAAGATGGCCAAGGAAGCTCTAAAGTACCCTAGTGATAATATAACCCTTTATTTTGCTAAACCACCTAACTTTGCAATAGATGTGTATTGTAAGCATGAGGAAGATTGTAACTATGTTCGCTCTTGTAGTATGTATGCATGCAACACTCTAGCATCTCTAGGTAATGACAATGCCCTATATGGCATGGCAAAACTATGTACTAATGACATCTCTATGGGTCTTGTACCCTAGTACAATGCCTGCTTTATTAATATTAATATAAGTATCTTTTCCCTTAAAAAAAAATTGGTGCCAAATTTAGGGGGTTTCAAGGGTGAGGACAACTTAAGGAAAAGAAGGGGCTAAGGGCATCTTCGGCAGTTTAGGAAGTATATCAGTTCAGAGAAATATCCCCCCATTTGAGAATCGTCATTTTAACCATAAGATGGAGCTCATCTCTCTACACTTCTCGCCATTTATAACAAGTAAGATTACATACCACAATTCTTATTTATCCCGTCATGCTTCACTTACCAGTGAGTTTGTCTTCGTTCTTGATGTTTAATTTGTCTGTTTGCCACCTGTAATGCTAACATTGTTATCAATCCCATCCATTGGTTAGAAATCAGTAGCTCTATTGCATCTAGTTCGCATTTATAAGTTCCCCACTGCAGAGTAAACTGAGTACTATAGTTTAACAGCTCCATATAGTAGGAATTGCATTGTGAGGATTCATATATGACCCCAACTAGCTATTTTGAATTGAGGCGCAGTAGTAGTTGTAGTTGATGAGGTTGAAATGTTGTGGGAACAATTGCGTAGTGATTGTTGATATTAACGGAAAGCACGGGCAATTTAATGGATTTTGTTCATATCACATTCAATTGCAATTTAATGTTATGTATGGTTGATAATGAACTGACTGTTTAGATAAGAAGATGAAGCTAAATTTCAGTCTGGTTTTTGAGTGTCTAGGGTTATTGATAAGTTTTGAGTAATTGAACCAAGTAGAATTCACATAGGTTCTGGTGCTAAGGGTCGAAGGTCTTTGGATTTTTATGTGGAAACCTACAAGATTTACTTGGTATTCAGAGTTGTTGAGATGCAGGGAGAAACTAAGAAAATTATCAGAAACAGTGTTCACTAACAGTGATTGATGAGGCTGGTGTTGTATATTGATTTTCGACTCAAATGTTATTGTTTAGTGAAATAATGGACGTGTTAGTCTTCAATAAATGGATGGGGACAAAGCTATTGTCCCAGAACTGACATTAACAAAGCCGGGAATTTAAAAAAAATAAAACACGTACAGTAAAGAAAGAAAAAGTTTTTAGAGCTAAAACTGGTTGAGGTTTTCCCTGGCTAATTAACTTGCCCTCAGCAAAAGTTCATACTCATGGATGTTCTTGGGTAGATGTGTGCCCCTTGTAGTGTTTCCACCTTTTTACAATCTCTATCTGTTGTGGAAGGATTTACCTGTTATTTGCAGTTTCCTACTTGAAGTTTCCATAGTAGTTAGACGATTTCAAATACTTGTTTAGCTTTTGATGAATGATTTTTACAACATGAGTTCACATCTTCATTATGCTCATGCAAATCGCCTCTTCAATGGGTTGTGCACTGCATCCCTGATTACTACTTATGCTTCAATGCTAAAATATCTTGTATTAAGTTAACAGGCATATAGTACAGCAACAATAACAACAACAACAAACCAAGTGTAATCTCACAAGTATGGTCTGGAGAGGGTAGTGTGTATACAGACCTTAACCCTATCTTATGAAATAGATGTAGAGAGACTGTTTCGGATAGACCCTCAGCCCAAGGGCAGAAGAAAAAAAACAGTAACAACAACAATATAAGATGATAAGATAGCCGAAGTAATCAAAACAACAGGTAGTAATAGAAATCTAAGAATAAGAAAATACGAAAATAATACTAATACTATTGGTATGGGAAAGAGATAGGCTCGACTGCCTACTAATCTTCTACCCTAATTCTCGCTTGTCCACTCTCCTATCAAGGGTCATCAGTCATGTCCTCGATAAGTTGAAGTTGCGTCATATCCTCCCTAGTCACCTAATATTTTTATTAGAGTCGGAAACCCAGGTAGTGCGGAATTTAGCCAAACAACGTGTATAACGATAATAACAAAGACAATGCAAGTAATAATAACAATTAAAGCATATAAAGGAGGCACATATTTAATGTGGTTTGGTCAGTATGACCTACATCCACAAGTGGAAATGTGCAATTTCACTATACCAACAAGAGTACAAAACAGAGGACAAGATGAGATAAAGCTCTAATCAACCCAAAATATCCCCGAGGGAATAACCTCATGTGATCGCTCCAAAGAAGAGAATCACACGAGTGTTTCCCAACACCAAACTTTCTTGCAAAAATACTCTCAATAAATAAAGGAGGAGGGGAAGAAACAAGAATTGAATTCTCAATCTTTTTGGTGCATCTGTAACATGAACGAAGCTGCCCTTTTATAGAAAATCAAGGCCAAAATAATTGGCCAAGAGATAGCCACGTGGGACTTATCTTGCTTAAATAAAAATGGGCGAACAAGGCCTTTGGTTACAAGGCCAAAGATATGGCCACGTTACAACTTCTTTGGCCTACCTTTAATTCTCATCAGGCCTCTCACACCTCGTTGGGACATCAATGCATCTCCTCTTCACATGCCCGTACCATCTCGGTCTTGTTTCTCGCATCTTGTCCACCCCGAAGGCCGCACTCACATTGGCCGGAGTATTTCATTCTTAATCTTATCTCTTTTGGTATGCCCACCAGGGACGTAAGCAAGATTTTTCATAAGCAGTGTCGATATTTTGAAGAATTGAACTACTGAACAAATAATTGAAAGAATATCGTATTTAAAAAATACAATTCAAATTATATTAATAAATATAGTTCAAAATATATTACTTTGATTCGCCCCAACAAAAATTATTTTTGAAAATGTGTTCATAATATTCTGTAATACACTTATCTTAGACATGTTTTTGTGAGCATATGGCACCATAGCGATTTTAGGCTTGAAGGTTGAGGTCAAGAGTTCGATTCTTTCTGAGTTGTATTTTTTGTAAATGATAAATTTAATGTTCCAAAAATTAAGAGTACATCACGGCTCGATCTCACAACCACCTTTAAGGATCTTGACGTGCTCAACCACCACACTAAGTCACACTAGTTGTCAAGCACTTTCAATTTTAATTTTCATTAACTTTTCTCTATTTTCTTGCATATTATGTATATTTATAATTAGTAGAACCTTTCGACCAAGCGGTGTCGGATGACACCGCTTGGACTAAGGTAGGTACACCCCTGATGCCCACACATCTATCTCAGCATCCTCATTTCGCTACATTCATCTTCTGGACACGGGAGTTCTTGGCTGGCTAAATGTAGTCGGTTTACCTACCACTCTATATAACTTACCTTTAAGTCTTGGTAGCACATTCTTATCGCAAAAAATACCGGATGCGAGCCTCCATTTCATCCACCCTGCACTAATACGTTGTATGACATCATCGTCAATCTCCCCCATTACCTTGGATTACTCACTGATAGGTACTTGAAACTTCCTCTCTTATGGATGACTTGGGTAACTAGCCTCATGTCCCCATCTGCTTCATGAATCACGGCACTAGAAATAGGCACATAATGTACACTTAAAAAATGTGTATGATTGATTGGACTTGAGTTACATCCTGAAGATAAGACTTAAATGTTAAGTAAGTATATAGAGAAGACGTTCTTCTTAAGCTGCCAAAAGGACATATTGGCGTAACAAAATCTTTCATTTATAAAAGGCTATGCTTTGCAATTTACTAGATAAGACAATTATTGGCTATATGATGTGATGGTTTCAAAATATTTGTCTATTTGTCAATATCCCTAAGTTGATTTGGACATGTTATTGTGATATTTTAATAGTTTAAGTACTGGAGCTTTGTAAAAATTTGCTACTTGTTCGTCATTTTAACTCTTTGGATGGTACAGAATATATTGGTGATATAATGCAGTTTAACCAAGTGCTATATATCACGAGAGCCAAAATAATGAAGAATTAGTCAATGTAAAGTTATGTTACGGGCATACATAAGCAGATTGAAATTATTGCTGTATCCAATGCCAAACAGGTTTCCCACTTTCAGTACTTAAACTGCTTGCCCTGTTGTGTTCAAAGGCTTATGCTTAGCTGTCTAGTTTTCAATATTCCTCTCTGTGAATTATCCCAGGATGTTTCTCAACTATTTGTGGAAGGAATTTTAAGATAATGGAAGAGAAAAGGGTCAAATATATATTTTCTTATAGCTTATCTTGATTTTTGATCTTTGAAGCAACCGGAACGTTGAAATCTAGAGATTGCAATGCGCTATCTACACGCATTTATCCTCTTGGTTCTAACAAATCAAAAGAATCTGCTAGCAGAGTATTCAGAGTAACTTCTGCACTTGCAGAAACAGCAGTGTCTATTGCAGTTGCTGCCACAGTTGTGGGTGCTGCAGCAACTATTCTTGTAAGGAGAACTAAAGCTTCTGAAGCAATTGAGGTGAGTTGAAAGCTGACAAGAGTTATTTCTTCTGATATAAATATTTGTTCATATCCTAGAGCAGCTCAATCAAATATTTAATCTTAGCTCTGAAATAACACTTAAGGACATTTTCTGATACTGATCTTGGAGTACAATGAAAATCTTGTTGCCTTCTGGATGATCCCAAAAGACATATATTTTATACCTTAAAAATATCGAGGAAGACATGGCTTTTTCTTCTACCATTGTTTGATAGCAATTTTGTCTTTCAAGAAAAAGAAGAAACATATTTGTTCGGTAATGGGCAACAACAAAAGAAGTATTCTCCAGCAGAAAGTTTGCGAGTTGCATTTTCAGTCAACTGTTGCATCAATTTGTATTCAGATATATCCTGCTAAAAATTCTACTGCAACGAAAAACGAAATGATATTTGTTTCTTGCAATTCAGTGAGGTTAACCTAAGGTACCAATCTGTAGTTGGTTAGTTTCTGCTCCTCTTGGTTTGATTATTGATGTATCTCATCCGTATAAAAAATAAAATAAGCCGAGTTTCGCTTAGCTTCTGATCAGAAAAATGAAATTCAGAATTAGTTCTGCATTTACGGTGGAAACAGGTCTTTCAGTTAGTAGAACAATTTTGCCATTTCATTATCCATTTTCAGCTTGTTCTCTCTTTGAAGCAAAGATTAAAGATTTGTGCAGTAGCAGGTTATTCTCCAAACTAACCATAAAAGAGGAAAATACTATGCAGAATTGTGAAGTTTAAGTAGGGGGGAAATCAAATGATTTGTAGCTCAAATGCAATTGTTATTATGCTCTTAGACTACCTCTTTTGATTGTTGTTCTTATCAATAGACAGGCCCCGCCGAAAATTTGTGAAGACTGCGGTGGCTCTGGAATTTGTGCAGAATGCAGAGGGGAAGGATTTGTGCTAAAAAGGATGTCTGATGAAAATTCTGAGAGAGCAAGACTGATGGCAAAGAACGCAGCCACAAGATATACAGCAGGGTATGTTTTCGATTTCGTTAAGCCCCTCGTTTATAGGCACTGAGCTCTAAGTGTATGAACTCATATCATGCATTTGGCAGGCTTCCCAAAAAATGGAGCTACTGTATGAAATGCAACGCGGCTCGCTCCTGCAATTCATGTGGCGGCAGTGGGAAGTTGAACTAATTGTTAAATTGCCTTATGATATACCATATCATTCAATTGTGTCAATATAGTGGTAAGAAATTCGAAGAATATGTAGGCGGTAATTCTATGCATATCCTAATTATGTATAGTTTGTCGATAATTCTTTTGGAATATGGCCTTCTTGTGATAGTGCTATAACTTATCCATTTTCAAGATGCTGTTTACATTTTCTATGTCCTTATTGAAATGTGGTAAGTACTACGAGGTTTGTGGAATAATAACATGACGCGATTTTCATACTACCTAAACTTCATAATCCAAAAAAGCATCGACATATTTAAGGTTCAGCTTCTTGATGTTGAATCTGATATTTATAATTTCACCACTTTTTAGGTAATGACTTACCATAATAGTGGCCATTTGCATCCTTAAGTATTGCTGCGCTTTATATTTTCTGATATTCGAAATTCATGGAGAAGTTTGCTTAACGCAAGTTTCATTAAACCTTAACAGACCATTTTACTACCCAGAAAGCTCCGGCACTATTGAACTACCAAATGTGATTGGAAATTAGAGCTCCATGCTACTTTGCACCTCTACTCTAAATATCATGAATCCACAATTTAGTTATTTTATTAGGGGATTTTTTTTAACTGTACAATATTTGAAACTTATTTACCAAAATTGTCCTAATTTTGTATATTACCTACCCTAAACAAGGATTACTTATAAATTATATACAATTTATTATTAGTGCCTTAAATTATAGGGTTTAGTTACATCTTTTTCCTATTTTCACTCCACTCCTCTTTCAATAAGGATATTAGCGACTAGGATCAACCAGCTAATCCGGTACTGAGTCAGCATTGTCCTTTCCAAATTCATTACTGGGACAGGAAGGAGCTAGGTTTGCAGTACAATTCAAGATTGCATCAATTGTAATGTAGTCTCTTGACTGTCGCAGTCTCACCTATTTTACTAGTAATATCCGGAATTGATCAACACCCCACTACTCTCCATTCCGTTAATTAACCTTGTGAACTTGGGTACATAGGTATGTCCAAGTATAGACCCTTTTGATGTGTCATTGGAGATATTTTGATTGTAGCCGTGAAGTTTTTTTAATTTCATAACTGTTGTATAAAAAACGGTTGTATCATATGATCAAAATTTTAGAAGGTAAAGTCGCTTTTATTTTCTTGCAGGCTTTACTTTCCACGAACAATTTCCAGTTTAATCAGATTTGAAGTCTATAGTAGATTAACTTTGAGGGTAAAACGGGTACGTCATGAATCAGTGCACATGGGTCAATTTCGAATTCATTCTATACCTTTCTTTCTTTAAGAAAAGAATAATGTATGGCACACCAACCAGTGGCGAAGCTAGAAATTTATTCAAGGGTGTTCAAATTTAAAAGAAGTGAAAAAAAATTCAGACAAAGGGTGTTCAATATGTGTTATATACATCTAAAACGTAATATTTTACCTATGTACACAGTGCAATTTTTCGGCGAAGGGTGGTCAGTTGACCACCCTTATCACCATGTGGCTTGGCCACTGACACCAACATAATTTAAAACAAATTTCGTTCAAGATTAATACAAATTTGATATATATATACAACAACATACATACTAAAAATAAATTTTATACAACTAATTATAAGGTATACAACTTATTTATAACTTATCTACAACTTTCACACATCACTATTACTCAGTTAAATACAACTACAAACCACATACAATATGTCTTTTGTATGTGGTTTGTATATGATTTGTATATATTTTGTATATGGTGTGTTATTCTTCATCTCTAAAATTTCAATCAAAACTTCATCTCTTAATATAATTTTGATATATATAAACAACTTTATGTAAAAAGATAATATTTATTACTTAAATATAATCTTTATACAACCACTCATACAGTACACAACTAATTTCCAACTTTCATATAATATTAAAAAAAAACTACAAATAAAATACAACCAAATACACTTTTCATACAAATTTCATACAACTATTATACAACTTTAATACAATTTTATATGTATATTGTATGTCATGTATTCTCTTTTTCTTCTGAAAATCCAACCAAAATCAAATCTAAACTTCACCAAATACCCTCAAAATCGAGATGTGAACTCCATAGAATATTCCCAATCATTTGCAATAATATCCAATCCAAACAAAATATATATTTTTTTTAAATCCGAATTCGAATTCAAAGCTTCAAAGCTTTTTAATGGCTGCCAATGGTGGAGAGTCAAACACATCAAAATTTATTGATTGACAATTTTAATTCGAACAATGGAGCCAAATAATTAATATCCATCTGCTACTAGCCCGCCATCGGAATGCCAACAAAAAAAGGAAAGTCCAGAAAAGCTCCAAACTCCATCGATGACAAAATTAATCCCTTTCTTTGCCATTGTTAGAGAAAATTATGAGCTTTAGAAGAAAAAATCTTATAGAATCGGTGTATAAAGAGTGTTGATTTCAAAGAGACAAAGAGAAAAATCCTTTAGAATGAACTGTGATTGGGTTAGTCTGGGTAAGAAAGGAATTGTTAGGGTTTAAAGGGATTTACTAAATTAAAAGGCTACAATTAAGGGATACTCATTTACAACTAATTTGTACATAATTGGTAAATTGTACATGACTATGTAATTAAGATAAACTTCATTAGGGAGGGTAAATAAATTTCATATGTAGTATAGATAGGTAAAAAATTCTTTTTATTAGGTTAGCTATTTACATGCCTTGCCTGGAGTTCCATTCTCCAATTAGGTTGAATGGCCAAGCTTAGGGGTGGCGAATAGGTGGTTTGGGCTGAATTTGGACGGGTCAAGATAGGATGAAGTAGTAATTGGGTCATCACTCAACCTCTAACGATCCGGACGGTCGATCTGAGAGTTGTAGCCCTGTTTCCTTATTTACTGCTCATTATGTGCTTAAATGTTGTCATGTGACTTGCCAGGGTAGTTGGTTCGGGTCCGGAGAGGTTTAGAAATGAGTTGAGACGTTTAGTCTCCAAGTTGGAAGCTTAAGTTGAAAAGGTTGACCAGATGTTGACTTATGTGTAAACGACTCCAGAATGGAGTTTTCATGGTTTCGTTAGCTCCGTTGGGTGATTTTGGACTTAGGAGTGTGTCTGGATAGTGATTTGGAGGTCCGTAATTGAATTAGGTTTGAAATGGCAAAAGTTGGAAATTTAGAAGTTTGATCGAGAGTTGACTTTGTGGTTACCGGTCTTGGATTTGGGTTCCGAGAGATAGAGTAGGTCCGTGGTGTCAGTTTTAACTTGTGTGCAAAATTTGAGGTCAATCGGATGTGATTTGATAGGTTTCGGCATCAAATGTAAATTTTAGAAGTTCAAAAGTTTATTAGGCTTGAATCGATGCGCGATTCGTGATTTTAGCATTGTTTGATGGGATTTGAAGGCTTGACTGAGTTAGTATCGTGTTTTAGGACTTGTTGGTATGTTTGGTTGAGGTCCCAGGGCCTCGGGTAGATATAGGATGGTTAACATACTGAAAACTAGACTTGGAGGACTGCTGAGGATTGCTGGTGTCCAGTTCTAGTTTCCTTCTATGCGATCACGTGGGCAGGTAAGCGATCGCGAAGGCTTGTTTAGGGAAGCTCGGATTTTACTCTATCCATTCGCGAGCTGGATATGCGATCACGTAGGTTTGACAGGCAGAGCATCGCGAACGCGTGGGCTAGGCCGCGTTCGTGAAGAAGAAGTGAGGCAGCTGGGTTCACGCGCGTTGTCTTATGCGAACACGTGGGTTAATCCGCGATCGCGTAGGCCTGGGAAGACTGTGCTTCGCGTTCGCATGGGTTTGTGTGCGGTCGCGTAGAGGTGTTTCTGTAGGCAGTTGAGCTTGTGCTTCGCGATCACGAAGAAGGGACATCTGGGCAGAACGTAAATATTTCAAAAACGAGGGTTTGAGTCTATTTCAAAATTTTGATTTTGGGAGCTCGGTTGGAGGCGATTCTTGGAGATATTTTCAAGCGAGTGATTAGGTAAGTGATTCTTACTTAGTTTTGGTTAAATTCCATGTTTATATCTTTGATTTCATCATTTAATTAGTGATTTGGGTTAAAAAATTGGGAAAAATTGAGGAAAGTCCTTAGGCCGAATTTTGGGGATTTGATCGAGATTTTTGTATCACATTTGAGTAATTTTAATATGGGTGGACTCGTGGTTGAATGGGTGTTCGAATTTTGTGACTTTTATCGGATTCTCAGACGTTGGCCAAGAGGTTGACTTTTGAGTTGACTTTTTGACTTTTGATTAAGAACTTAGTATTTTCTTATCGAATTGATTCTTATAGCTTGAGTTGATCGTATCAAATTGTTTGTGGCTAGATTCGAGGCATTCGGAGGCCGTTTCGCGAGGCAAGGGCTTGTTGGAGTAGAGTTTTGCAATGTTTGATGTAAGTAACACTTCTAAACTTGGTTCTGAGGGTATGAAACCCCGAATTACGTGTTATGTAATTGATGTTGAGGTGACGCACATGATAGGTGACGGGCGTGTGGACATGCACCGTAAGAATTGTGACTTAGTCGATTCCGTGGAATTTTATAGTTGAAAAATCTTGCTGTTACCTATATTTTCACCATGTGTTAGAGCAATTGATTTGCCAGTAATGTTAGAAATCCTGCTTATGGTACGTGTTAGTACTATTGGGACACACAAAGGTGGTTTTACACGTCGACTTATTTGTTTAATTTGCCATTTTGTACTCAGTCACAACTATTATTGTCATATTATGTCTTAGTCTTTGTTGTCCTTTATTTGATACATCATATCATCATTGTTTGGGCTGATTATCATGATTCTGGTGAGCCAGAGAGACTGGAGAGATTAAATACTGAGTAAGGCTGAGGGTCTATTGTGAGTGATATTCGTGGGATCGGGCTGCACATCGCAGTAGGCTTTATTGATTCTTGCCAGGATTTGGCTTATTATAGTGCTTGGGCTGGATCGGCTCCTCCGGAGTCTACACATCCACAGTTGGCGCAGTTGCTAGCATTTATTTACATTTGGGTTGGATCTGCCTAGGTTTATTTGCATTTGGGGTGGATCTGCCCTGGGCTGGATCTGCCATGTTCTGTGTTGAGTTTTATTGCAAAACCTGAAAGCATGTCTAAATTCGTGTACCATTACTTGTAGATTATGAATTTCAGAGATATCACCGTCATATTTTCCATGAATTTCCATAT